GACTAACTATTACCACTAATGGGATAATGAGTTTAACATTGTCTTACATGGTGGTATCCTAAGGTATTCTACCCCTTCTTTCTTGACTGAGCAAACTTGATTATTCATACAGTTTAAATGTAATGTACTATGATTAAATTTTAGATTTTCCTAACAATTTTGTATCTCATTTGAGATCCAGCAATCATTAATGACAGTTTTTAGTATTTTGACTTTTTATTGCTGACTTACACCATGCACTAAACATTATCAGATCTACAAGGTGACTATCCTGAAGGACTGAGCTGGTCACTGTCCTGTATTTATCTTGTAGCCTTAATGAAATATTTTCTTTGGATAAAATATTTTGAGCTTGTCTTGGAAACATAAGGTTAAATATTTAAAGTGAGGTGAACAAATAAAATTAGATAAACATATGGATGAGTAGAGGAGGTAGGGTGAGACCAGGAGTAAATTGAACCTAACAAACTGAGGAATCAGAAATACACTTTTTTTTTAAATAAGAACACACTTTATAAGAACAATGAGGCTGAAATTGCTTAAAAATTAAGAACAAAATAAGAACAAATTGAGGCTGAGGTAAAATGTCAAATGAGGTTTTTTATTTTAAAGAAACTAGAAAATCCCAAAAATTATATCTCTACCTTATGTGCAGTAGGTGTGACTATGTTCCTCCATAATAAAGTACAGTAGGTGTACCTACCTGCTATCTGGGGCCAATTTTTGTGGGGCCTTTTTTCAGTGGCCATTTTTGCGGGGCCACTTTTACTACATTCTAGTACAATATACATGCCTACTGCTCTACCATAGTAATTTTCTACATTTGAACAACGTGTAAAATAAGAACAAAATAAGAACATTTTGAGCCTGAAATCAGCCAAAAAATAATAACACTGAGCCTGGGCAAAATTTTACTGGTTCTTATAAAAAAAAAAAGTGTAGGCATCCATAAAATAGTACTATAAATTTTCAATAAATAACCATAAAAATAATAAATTTATAATTTCATCGCTTTGTCACTCCAATTGGTATGGTAATCATTACATTCTTGTGACCCAGCTGAATTAAAATATACACTTTTTTTAAAAAAGAAAAACAATAAAATTTTGCCCAGGCTCAGTGTTCTTATTTTTTGGCCGATTTCAGGCTCAAAATGTAATGGTTTTTAAAAATATAAACCTCATTTGAAATTTACCTCAGCCTCAATTTGTTCTTATTTTGTTCTTAATTTTTAAGCAATTTCGGCCTCTGTGTTCTTATAAAAAAAAAAGTGTACCAGTAATCAACAGAATATAATAATAGTACCTTGTAATAGCTTCTACCAAATTTGTAAAAAAATTGATATGAATGTAGGCCTCAGTTTGTATGTGTGTGTGTATGTATTTAACAACTTGCTATGAGTAACCTTGCCTCTGTGAATTCCTAACATGTATGTTATATAAATGAAAAAGCAACTGAAAAATGTATGTATGTGTGGTGTGTGTGTTTGTGAAGGGGGAGTATTTACAAGATTGGTTGTCTGACTATTTGATTTAATTTAATCATTGATTTCAAACTATTTGATTTAATTTATTACAAATTTCTATGCCACTGAAGTCTTGGACTCATTAAAGTTAAAACAGCAAACCACTTAAAACCATGCCAAAACTTTAAATAGTGTATAAAACAATTTAAATTATTTTTGTTCGTAGGAAAAAAAAAATACAAAGGCAAACAACATGAGCACATGAGTATGGAAGTAAACATTTGTTTCTAAAGATGATGGTACTGTATAAGTGACAGGAGAATTTTGCAATGCAACACAAAATGTAAACATGGATTGGCCATGGATGAGTTCATAAAGGATTGATTTAATTGGTAGATTTTCATCACATGATACTCGCATTTTGCAACTCGCAACTTGCATTTTGCAACTCGCAACTCGCAAATAAAAAATTGCTATCTTGATACAAAATCGTGGATTCAGATTATATAGTTTTTAATTACCCTAATGCTCAAAAAAGCACCGCGTCGTGGCTCTTAAGAGTATTATTACCTTTTGTGTAACTAAAGAATTTGGGTTTTAAATACAATGTATACAGTGTTAAGGTGAATAAATAACACAATGAATACACAAGTATTTCTTTTTTTTTTTGTATTAAAGTGTTAATTTACTATGACGTTGGACATATGATAGGCCTACTGTTCTACAGGAATGTGAGATATGTAACATGGGAACGTGCATGAAAAGCGCCACACCAGTATTTCTTATTATGAGCTCAGTAGCCACATGTACCTTTTAGGTACCTATTTTTATAACAGTAGGAAACACGATAAAACTCAGTGCTTGATGTTTGTATCAAATATTTATTATTTGCGTCATGACGCAGTGAGTACTTTACAGTATTAACGATAATCAATAAATCGATCGTTTAATTAATCAATCAATCAATCAGTCAATCAATTTATTTATTTTAATAAATCTGGAGTAAAATATGACGGTAATATTTTGTTTAAACATTGTAACTGAAGTTTTTAAGTTATCCGTTTTAAGTTTGTTTTGGTCCCCAACCAAGTATAGCCTAATTCTCACATCTCATATAGTACAATTTTTCTTTTTAATTCAATTCAATGATATCAATATTCAAACACTGTCATCATATCCAAGTATTAGTAGAGAATAAGTCTTATTTGTATTTTGAACCATCTAAACCAATTAACATGATGCACTGTTGACGTAATAACTATCTGAATCTGAATCTGAAATCTGAATTTTAGATGTTGGCCTGCTAAACCTTTTGAGTTATGGTACCTGAACCAGGGAATATAAAGTTATACCTCCCTGTTAAGCTGGTGGCCAGGTCAACTCGACCGGGCAATATAACCCCATGTTTCTATTAGGCATAACATAGACTTGGATTTTTGTTACCAGACTTCAAGACACATTTTTTTAATAATACAGGATGGACTGAATAAAGTATTAACTTATAAACTAGTCAGTTACTTAATAAGAAATGTTGTTAGACTAAAGAAATAATTATCAAACCATGTGATGGAATATTGATGTGGAGTGACAATGGCAGAGAATCGCTCTATGCCCATGTCAGGTATTGTCATGCATTCATTGCATGTTATGGGCAGAAATATTTTGGGATCACACTTGTATGGAGTGTAGCGGTATTCGGAGATGTGGACATTATTTAATAGACAAATATAGTAGGCCTAAGTACCTTTTATTAGAATAAACGCCCCGCTTTGAATAAACACCCGAAAATAAACGCTCGAGGCGCTTATTTTTTCTTTGAAAAAATACAACTAAGTGACTGTAAACAAATCTAATGGAAGCAAAATCGTTTTCAACGCATTCTAATAATGTTCTACTCCAGTAGAATTCTGTACATTTTGGGATAATCACGCATAATTTTTTTGTTGTAAAAAAGCCACATTTACAGTGAAAGGGACGTTTATTTGGGTATATACGTATCCATTTTACACACACCAAAAATTAATAAACGTATTCCTCGTACAAACGCCTCCATCGAATAAACTCGCCCTCGAAACCCCTTCAACAACCCATGGTTAGAGATATTTTATTCGAGGAAAAAAATCAACGCCCCGGGGCGTTTATTCCAAATGAGGCTCCAAGAGGGCGTTTAGTATAATATAGATCAAAAAACATCGTATCAGATCAGAACACTATATTAGAAGAAATAATTATAACAACATGTGAAAACGTATAAAAGATTCCATACTTAATTGTATATATAACAAGAATCCTTGTGTTTAGATTTATACAAACAACTAATGAAAAATAGCAATGATGAATTTATATTAGGCCCTATCCTTATCAATCTTTTATCTCCCAATTTAACGGTGTCAAACTTTCTTGAAAAAATCAATTTACTATATATTTATATATAGGCCTATATATATACATATATATTATATATATATATATATATATATATATATATATAACTCCTTTTACTATTCACTAATAAATTTTTTACTGCAATAAATTTTAATTTTAATTAAATTTTTTAATATAATTTAATTTTAATTTAATTTTTAAATTTTTATTTTTATTTAATAAATTTTGTACTGCAGTATTTTTCATGTTTTATTTAATTGCGTAATTAATTTTATACTGATTGTTGCTGTTGTTGTTATTGCACATCTTTTACGGTTGTGCCTCTGTTAAAAATTTAAAAAGAAACAATAAATTTGCTTACTTATGCTTCTGACCAGCATAGACTTCCTTTTAATTGCCTGGTATCCTTTGATTTTCCGGGATTTCTGTAGGTGAGATGTATGCAGGCCTAAGGTAGGGAAACTACTTTTTTCCAACCTTTTTCTAGTTGGGGAAGTGAATAAATTATGCGATCCATTTAAATGAGCTATTCAAATTTTTGATTATTATTATTTTTTTTTTTTAAGGCCTAAATGACGGCAATACCCTTCCTTGATTATCAGTGGGAGATGAAGAAAAGGTTGACGCGTTGACTGAAGATGTGACGCACTCAAAACGTGTTGGTATAATTGTAAGAGGTATTTTTCGTGGTTGGTCTATCAAAAAAAAATTAGGTCGTTTATGTATTATGTTTTTCAACTTAATATTTCATGGACGGGAGCGACATTGATCGCACTTTGGTGGTAGGACATGTTAGCAGCACCGATGAACTGGGAGATGCCGCAACTACCTTCAATCTTGGGGCTCTTGTTTCTGAGCAAGAGAAGGCTAGTTTCCAGGTAGCCGGAATGGAGGCAGGCGCATTGATCGACAATGTACGTCAGCATGTGGCCGTGCAGGATATCGCTACGGCCCGGTGAGTAAGCACAAACATAGCCAGTTAGGGCCTAGCTAGGGCTGCCTAGCTTAATAGCCTAGGCCTCATATACTGTAGGCCTAGGCCTAGACTGAGCATGTTGTGCTAACTTTTATGATTTATTAAGTATAATTTTTTGCTTTAAAATAATACATTTAATAATAAATTTAATGAGGTGTAGTGTAGGCCTAGTCCATCGGTTGTGTTGTGGCTTAGTCTGGACTAGGCCTAAGTTGGACTCCAAACCTTGAGGTCAGGGGTTCGAAACTCTCGCTTTGCCTTCGCAAGTCGCTTGTGTCTTTGGGCAAGGCTCTCTCCACCCAGGAGGACAAGTGGGTACCTGGTAAGTTCGAACACACATACGCTGATTACAGCTGCAACATATGGAATTCTCCCAACAAGGGACCTGAGTGTGTTCCATATGTGCTTGATTAATGACCGACGGGGTAAAGCGCATACAGGTCTCTACAATTTGCGCTAAGCCTATATAAGTCAACAATTATCATCATTATTATCACAATGAAAATAAAACAAGGAAGGCAAGTGGATTATGTCGTGGTTTGAGCCGGTTGCACAATTGCATTTTGAGTAAGCTCTGGCCTCTGACAATTTAACCTCTTCTTCGATCACCGGAAAATTTGGCCACATGGAATTTGTATGGAATGACATGGACATTATCACACACCAGCTATTGTTAAGGTAGTTCCATGCTGTTGCGTACAGACAGTAGGCCTCCTAGGCTATTTTATGCCTTAGTTCATTGGTGTACTGTAGCCAAGCCTTGAAGCTAGGGCTAGAAAAAGTGTTATTCTTCTGCAGACTCAGACTGTATTGCTTTCATTTCATATACGGTATTATTTATTTTTAGGTACTGTATGCTGATTAATATTGAAGCAAATGTATTGTTTTGTTCATGTCGTGCAATACTTTATTCCCTTTGTTGTTTTAATGTCTCTTTTGCCTATTGTTTTTTAATCTTGCTCATTCATTTACATCTTTATTTGTAATTTAATTTTAATTTTTATATTAAGTTTTTTATTTAATTTTGAATTAATTCTTTATGTAAATTTTGAATTGAGAGGTTATTTATTTTACTGTAATTTAATTAGTTTAATACGCTCTTTTGTTTTGTTTTACTATGTGTATTGAGGGTCCCTAATGATCAGCTTTGGCTGGATGGACCACCCTCATTAAAGATTGTTGAAATAAAATAAAAATAAATAAAATAAATTATATATTAATTATGTTTTGTTTATTAAGTAGCCTGCCCCTACAACTTACACTGCAATATAAGGCTTGATATCAGATAATTATAACTTGGCATGTCTCTTTTAATATACAACCAATGTACTAAACAGTAGAGTAGTTACAATTCTGCATCTCTATTTTCATAGTGATTTACTGTACTTCACAAATTTAAGTTGGTTTTTGATATACAGCATCATCCACACGAATATAATACTTTACTTTACAGTATTCTCTAGCCATTAGGCTTTAGGTATGTCGTCATTGCAGATTTTAGTTGGTTTTTGAGATATCCATGCAAAGTAAATACCTAACAGAGTGGATTGAATACTCATTTCGCTACGTCCCCCCCCCCCCTTCCATCCCGCTTTATCGTATTTACCAACTCCAGAGTTCCAAAGCAAAACAATCTAACTTAAAATTTCACTTTTTGAAAAAATTAGTTAAAATTTGCATGTTTGCAACTTTGCAACACATTTTTATACCCTTTTGAAACTTTGCAGGACCATCTGTAGAAATTATGATTATATGTAAGATTTTAATTACAACCATTGGTGTATTACAAAGTTACTGTATTAACGATCTTCCCAGATAACTATAAGTTGTTTTACCTTGGAAACATTAAGAATTGTCAGGCGTGGTATTGGTATTGTGACTTTACTATTTCTTGAATTTATCACAAATGGGGCACTCATATGCATTATCTACTGTACCTTGTACATATGCCGTTGTTAGGATTGTTGATATGAAAACACCATGAACCAGTTGGTTTTGCTGTGCGAAACTCCATCAGCTCAAACAATTTTTGAATACAATTCAGAGGCAAAACAACATATCTTCATCATAGATACGTTGTTTTGCCTTGTAATCTTGCAGTTACATAGTTTTACCACAGAAAATCACTTAAAGTGTGGCCATTAGTTTTTCTATCTAAGTTATTACTTAAAGTATTCGTACAAAGTAATTGACATTGGAGTTGTGTTGAACTTTCATTGTAGCTTGGTAACTGCTGAAGGAGACACCTTGCACGCAGCTACACTAGATGAAGCTGGTATAACAGAAGAGGCGCTCTCTGCATCTGACATGGTCACTACCATTAGGATTCACCCAGAACTTGTGTGTAGTCTGGAATCCGTTGTCACTTCAACAGCATTGAACGTTCCTGGTGGCGCCAATGTATTGTACGTTAATGTGCCAAACCTGGAACATGCTACGCCAGGTATTCAAAATTCTCAGTTCAAGATTGCGGTTACCAGTCCATAATATTTTGGCCTAAAAAGCACAATTCTAAGCCATAAAATCAGTCCCATGACACCCACCAGGTTTGTATTCCAGGGACCTAATCAAGACTCCAGGTGGCCCCTTGGTTTTGACACACCCCCTTGACTTGTTCACTCCTGTCAGCAGAATTTGTGAGCCACACTGTCTAGCTAAAATATTATTATTCCTAAAAACATTACCAACCTTTCCCCATAAACATATATCCCATATTTTCTTTTAATTTATAAATTTTTGTTTCTCATATTTTGCAATATTTTCACCTACAGGTCAGCCTTTGAACAGTCAAGGGTCAGTAGTGTATGCCCAGGCATTAGCTAACGGTCAACAGGCAATACTGACAAGCAACATCACAGAGACAAAGGTCAATGGAGAGGCTCCAAAGGTCAGTCTAGCCACTATACTTCATCTACTTACTTTCTGTTACTAATGTGCCATATGCCTGCAGTATGAAAACAAAAATTCTATATGCATTATCAATATCATTAAAATATTTTGAACATACTGTAAATACTATGGAGCCTGAATCACTGATCCCAATGTGATACCATAGGGCCTACAGTACTGTATGTGGAAAAATTGAAGCCTCAAAAAGTTAGAACATCCCTTTTCTATGTTGAGCTTTGTCCAAACTATACCAATTTATGTGACAAATAAATGTGACATTCCCTATATTTGGCTGTAATATAATATCATCTTGCCCGTATATGGGCATATTTGTGTTGTGTCTAATGGAAGCACTCGGTCATATCGACCACATGGTTAGTGGTACTTAGCAACGAAGCAGAGACGTAGCGATTAATGTCATCCTGTAATTGGGGAGTCGCACACGAATTGGTGACAAAAAATTATTTCAAGACGGCCGTATAATTGTCTATCTTGACTGTTAAGTCGAACAAAAACTGCGTCCACGGTCGTCAAGATTTTTTGGTAAACGCGACAAGGCATTCAATATGATTGATTTTTATGACAGTTTGCTACGTATGCCATCCACAATCAGCAAAAGAGCGGGAATAAATTTGTTTGCCAACGGTTGTACTACGCAGTTACATGGCCCAGGGGTTTAGCCAGAAAGACGAAATAGGCTGTCCAAAATGGAAGGCGAAGAATTTGTCGCATAGCGACAGCTAAGTGGGGGTGATGCTCGGGAGGATGTAAATCCCCCTCCCTACGTAAGGAAAAAAATAGAAAATTAAGACCTTTAGAGTTCATTTTAAAGGTGTTTATATGTCGGAATATTGTCTTCAAAGGAATAGTGTTGAATTAGCTATCACAAAGATATTTATATACATAGACATAGACTGCACATAGCTACGGTTGTTTACTCACATTGTTTTTCTAGGCTATGCAGATGCATCTTCATCTCTCACTATAGTCTAGTGTAAATTTCACTCCAGGTCCTCCGAATCGAGATGTATAAGCTTAGGCCTACTGTATTTTCTTGACTATTAAAATTTAACTTTTAATTTTAATCCACTTTACAGTATTTTTTTAATTAATTATAACCAGGGAGTTACAAATATAAACGATATCTTGTTGAACCGAAAGTAATGTATTTGCAAGGGCCACATGCAAACATTTTGGGCGACTAAGAACCGTCCATTTTCTAGCAGGGCATGAATAACTGTATGTTTTTAACACGACCTACGAATGTTGTAAAATTTTCACCGGATAGGCAATGGTTTAGCCTTACCTTTTTTGAATCCCGACGAAATGTAGGTATGAAAACAATGTAAATTCAATCAATAAAATTTGTTTTGTCAAACGTAAATATGATTTAGCTTTAGTTTAATGCAACATTCAATAGGTTCTAAGAATATAAAGAATTTGTTAAAGGTAGACCACACCCGAACTAGGCTAGGCTGAGCTGGGTAGGCCAAGCTGTCCAAGCCGTCACGGTAAAAGTGGCTGTCCTAAATAATTGTTACGGCTCGCTCGCTGGCTAAGCTCTGGACATGGCCTTACTACAGTCAATATTATATGTTACTCGGGAAGAAGTATTTAAATAGTTTTATTATTCTGTTACCTTTACCAGAAGAGAAAAGGAGGTTGGCCAAAGGGGAGGAAGCGCAAGAGAGATCCTCTGAAAGATGCGAATGCACCCAAAGCACCAACTACAGCGTAAGTACTGCCTTCATGCCTCACCAAAGAAAGCGATTTGAATGTGCGGGATTGTCAGTCATATCATCATCATCACAACTATGTTAATATTTATTTACGTTTTTAACACGTTACTTTCTTGAAATGTTATCCAAAAACCGAAAGGTCCGCTGCTTAATCTCAGATAAGAAAGTATAATACATACTCCAAGTATTGAAATACACGCCATCGTGTGGGGATTCAATATTTCGACATTATTTATGTCTTATCAAGTCACATATCATTAAAATGACGTGGGCAATAACTTGGCGAGAAAATATTGGGAAGAATAAACTCGTCGCTTGCAATGGGACTAAATACTATATTGCCACTGCCAAGTGTGAGTTTTCTCGTCCACTGTTTGCATGGGTTGGTATATGTTCAGAGAGGGCACCCCCATTAGTTCAATATTTTGTACTACCGGCAACATAACACTATGAACATACATACGTTATTTGTACTTTATCATCTAGGTGTATCTTCCCTTAACTATCAACCGTTAAGTCTGTGGTTCTACAATGTACAACAATGGTGTAATATATGCTTAAATTCTACCCAGGTTTTGGCAAGTAAAGTCGTCCCTAGCGCCCTTCAGCAACACCCTCGCAGCGAATGTGTTAACATACTCTACAGGGAAATGTTAATCTGCGCTCATCAAAAAAGATGTGCCACTTTACCTACTGTACTTGGTTTTAAAACCCTCTTGACTTATTGATCTTATTTTATCATTTATTTACCCTGAATACCACAAGCACCTGTGTTGTCCTACAGATAAGTTTACACTGTATTTTTGTGGGACCTTAATACATCAACAATATCCAAAGGATGCAGCCTAGTTAAAAGGTACATTACAGGGGCTGATCCAGAATTTTTCAAATGCACAACATTTTCAGAATAGATAAGTTAGTTGCACTTATTTCAATACATAACATTGATATGCAACAGAATTTTAGAATTTAGTGGCAAAATGGAGTGGTGTGTTGGGAGGAAGGGATCTGCTCCGACATTGCAAAATTTTTTTATATTATTATTTTTTATTAGAATTTATATAGCACATCTATCCAGAAAGTGCTTTTCCTTTGTCATAGAATACATAATCATACATATCGTGCAACCTCCTACACTCCCACAGGTATATTCCCAGTTATGCGTGAAATCGGAAATCGGCACTACTAATTTCATTCAAAAAAAAAAAAAAATCATTCACCTCCTACCAGGTACCCATTTATAAGAGAAGCAAATGTAGATAAAGTGTCTTGCCTAATGACAGTCTTTCTTGAACCCTCCGACCTTCCGATTGAAAGCCCAACGCCTTATGCGCTATGCCCTATGCAGGTGCCAACTTTACAGAAGAAAAAGAACAGTTTGTTTTGTTTTTGTTTTTCTAGGTATGTCTTTTTTTCGAATGAGCAGAGGCTAAAAGTAAAGAAGGAGAACCCAGACATGAGTTTCACCGAAATTACAAAACTCCTTGGCAACCAGTGGTCATCATTAAATGAAGATGAGAAAAAGGTAACAGCATTTATTTAGATTTATATGTCCATCAAAATGTATGTAGAATTCAAATAAAGTAAGAAAAATAATGGATCACGGGATGTAAAAGTATTCTCTGTGTGTTTCTCGATAACAATAACATTTATTGCATGGTTACTTTATTACCAATAATATTGAACATAAATGAAATTTCGTGTGAATGAATATATTTATTATTATTGCTTTTTATAGAATATTATCTTTTGAAAATTAGAACAAATAAATATTTGTCTCACTAACAAATATATAAATATTGTATTATAACTATTGTGCTCTTAACAAAAAAAAATCCAAGTTAAGTGTTCACTAGTGTATGTTACACATTTTTTTTTATTATAAAAAACTTACTACCATCTCACTAGTCCAACCATGGCCATACTCTATTAAATCTTTGCTCACTTATGAATGCCCATGTTTTTTTTCCCAAATCCTTGTTGTTTTCAAGAGTTATGAATTTTGCCTAGGGGAATGCTAGTTTTTATTTTTTTAAGCACTATAAAAATGTTGCAATTTATTATTATTTTAAATATTGTTATTAAATAAAATTTGACATAGCAGTAGTATGCTTAATTGCATCAAATTAACAATATTAAGATAAAATGTAAGCACCTGTTTCATAATTGGATAAAATAACATATAACTACATAAAAGGTTAAGGTAGGGGAATAACCCATAACTCTCAGCGTCATTTTGCTGAATGGCGTATGGCCGTGGTCCGTGACTACTTCAGCCGCCATAAAGAGGCGTTTCTAGTAGCTACATGTTCACATCATTCCACAACGAATGGGCTGAAATGAACCATTGCATCGGTGTATCATCTCTACTCTTCCAAAAGATGCAATGGGTTCTTTAAAATGTACATGAGCCAGATGTATACACTGGACCACCGTTTTAAGTCCTTATCCGAGAAGACTTGGTTCTACCAACAGAACACTGTACATGGAATATTTTATACAATTATACATTCAGGCCTTTTTATTATATTAAATTTACTTTAAAAAGGTAAAATATGTAAAATGAATACTTTTTTTTTCAGAAATATATCGAAAATGCAGAATCTGATAAGCGGCGATACATAAATGATTTGAAAGCATATCAGCAAACTGACCTATACCAGATGTTAATGAAGAAACAGGCAGCTAGAAAATTTAAGAATCTTGTTGGTAAGACACAGGCTCTATACCTAGATGGCATCTGATGTGTGAGACAAAAAGTATAATTTGTATATACTGTAGCGCCCTCTAGGTTATTCTTTTTTAAATTTTTGTGGAACTGCTACTGAATACAGTCGGCTTCGTTAAAAGAAATTTATATAGCCTGTATTCGCATTTTAACAATGAAAACACTTCATTTTTATGAATTTTAGGGTGTAATCGGCCTAAACATTTTATATTTTTTAATTTTTATGATGCGTGAGATAAAAAAAACATAGGCGTGAGAGTTGTCAGGTGTACAGGTTCTTGTGGGTGTAGGTGGAGGGGGGAGTAGGGATGTATTGGGAATTGGTAGAAGTGGTTCTTTCCCTGAGATACACAATGGTATGTTGGTTAAAATATTTATTATTGTTGGGCACTTTACACAACAGGAAGGAAGACGGGTGGTGGTGCTTCTGTGCTCATTATAGCCTAAAGACCACAGTAAACACTTGGGCGCTTAACCTGAATTGCTGTTGTCGACGGCTCCCCGTCCTAATGCGTAAAGTGCCTATTGGCTATATTGAGACTTAATTGAAAAATTAAGAAGGTCCTTTGTGGGTTGAGGAGTACTAATTAGGAATGGAGATGATGTGGGTTGTAAACCTGGCTTGGTATGTGAAACATTTTATTATTACTGAAGTTAAACTTTTAAAATAGATAAAAGATATGTATAAAAAATAATTTGAAGCATACTTATTATAGCTACTGTATGATTATAATCAATAGTAGAATTATTATATCTGATAAACACTATTATTTTATTTTATCATTCATAGGTGTTGATCCTGATGCCCTTGAACCGGATATAGAATCAACATTGCTTAGTGGCATGAACATGGAGGTACTCATTTAGATTTATTCACTCCAATCAATTACACTTTAACCTGTTCATACACTCCAATCAATTACACTTTAACCTGTTCATACACTCCAATCAATTACACTTTAACATGTTCATACACTCCAATCATATACACTTTAACATCTTCATGCACTCCAATCATATACACTTTAACCTGTTCATGCACTCCAATCATATACACTTTAACCTGTTCATGCACTCCAATTAATTACAATTTAACCTGTTCATACACTCCAATCATATACACTTTAACCTGTTCATGCACTCCAATCAATTACACTTTAACCTGTTCATACACTCCAATTAATTCACTTTAACCTGTTCATACATTCCAATCAATTACTCTTTACTGTAACCTGTTCATGCACTCCAATCAATTACACTTTAACCTGTTCATACACTCCAATTAATTCACTTTAACCTGTTCATGCACTCCAATCAATTACACTTTAGCCTGTTCACTGACATGAAATATGACAAAGTCCTTCCCCGTTTGTCATGAACAAGGTGAAAGCAAAAAGAAAATGTTAAGATTATGAATTATAGCTTCCTCAAATGATTCTTGATTGCATGTAGCGTCAGCTATAAGGATGTATATATAATCATGTCTTTACTCTTTAGTGTAATGATGACAGTTTTCAGTAAGTTGCAATATAAATTAATAATTGAGAAATTTGTGCATAATGAAAATATTTTTGATATTTGTAGTTGTTTGTATTGGTTTAATTGTTTTTGCTTTTAAACCAATCATTTCAGCCTGTGTGCTGCTTGTTTGGGTATTTCTTTTTTACCTGAATATAGATAAATAGATAAAAAAGGCAAAAAAAAAAAAGTATGTTTGGCCAAGCCTGAATGCCAGTGGTTTTGGGACATCATAATCTCATATGAAATTGGTGTCAAGAAATCAATAAATTCCATATGACTCCATTAACTGTTGAACTGAAGCTGACTTGGATTCAACATTTTGCTATGTTGGGGCTGGGCAGTACAAAGTTGTTTTTATATGTGTTTTATAACCAATACAGTTAGTGCTATACAAGAAATAATGGACACAAATTGTGAAATGAAGATTAATTTATTGATTGATTTATTTCCTGGCAGGACGATGACCCCAGTGACCTCTTTTGTAAAACATGTGACCAGTATTTCAGCTCGATGCATAATAAAAAAGAGCACTTGTACGGGAAACAGCACTTGCTAAATCTTACCGGAAAACTCTGTAAGTGTTAATTACATAAGTACAATGAGTTCATGAGATTTAGGTCAAGTATAGTTAAATTATTTGCATAATACGAATTAAAGTAATGGAATAATTTAGATATATTTTGATTTATGAATAATGCATAAGATATCTATGATAGGATGTACTAGATAAACCTATAATCGGTCCTAGATTCAAATAAAAGAGTGGCCTAAGGCAATAGGTTCCAGAGGAATATTGAATAAATAGTGTGTGGGGGTGTAACATGTAGATACTTTAATTGAATCTTATTGAAAATCAAATCCTACACTCCTTCACAATTCAATTTGTACTTTCAAAATTAATGTAATTTTTATTGAAATCTGAAATTTAATATAGCTACAGAATTGTAAATATTTTAATTACGTCCCTGATACAAGATTATTTTATTTTCGAATAGTACACCTTATTAGTAATATTTTTAAAAAAGAAGAATTTTTTTAATATTTAAAAAAGAAGTATTTTCTCCTGATTAAATACTGTTTCGTAAGTCTGAAAGACAACTCAAATTGAAATCTTTTATGATATAGCTATAAAACTGTAAATATTTTGTTTACTTCAGTCATACAAGAATATTTTAGTGATTTAAGTAATATTTTAAAGGATAAATCCTTTTTTGAGAGAAAAATAAGTATTTTCCCCTGATTAAACATTGTTTGTTAAGCCAGACAGACAAATCAATTAAATTGTGTGGCTTTTAGAAGTGAAATGACAATATTCATATACTGTAATCAAATATACATTTCCATTTTATCTTTCCAACAGGCGAGGTTGAAAAGGAATTGTTTGATATGGAAAATAGCAATCAGCAAGAAGCGGCAATGACCAGCTTGGAATCAAATACGGAATTCACAGAAATTGAAAGTGTTCTCACGCCAAAGAGGATTCTTCCAGCTCCAATCAACTTAGAACAATTTAAAGATGAATTTATAGAACTCAATGCAGGTAAAAAATCTTTCTTTTACATGTGTTCATTATATACATAGATGATTGTTCGTTAGAAAATAATCTGAACTATACCGAAGAACCTAAATATTAGAAGAATGAGATGTTTGCCTAGTTTGTATTAAAATTGACGGAACGTACACCTTCCCGCGAGTAGAGTAAAAGGCCGTATTCTACTGGTCGTTTTTTGTTAAAGCACGCCAACCTGCGACCAGTCGAATAGAAAACTTGTAAATACTTTACAAAACAAAATGGCTTCATAGTTATCACGATACACGCTGCTAATCAAGATTGCTTTGGTTTTCATCCAGTTTTTTAATTCTGTTAGCTTACAGTTATTTTTTGACATCATGTGGGTGAATATTATAATTTTTATTTTCTGAATTTAATCTAAATTGCATTAACGCAAATGTAAAACAAACTGATCAATCGGCCATGTTTTTTTTGGTTTGGTCACGTGGATAACTGAACGCTGATTAACAAACTCTGGTTTACGTTAATTTTTGTTGTAAACGAAGTCTATTTTACAAAGCAGTCGGTGGCAAATAATACTCAATGAAAAATCATAGTCAACGAAATTAACCAGTCGAATAAGCCCAATTATTTATTTGCCCTTTGACGGAGTGGAGAAACTACAGGAAACAAACAAAACCGAATGGTGCCCTTGAATATAAGATCAAGCGCCGCCACTCGGATGGTAGAAAATTGCTCTCATGGAAGTTCACCTATATCGCTACTGCTCTGTCTTCTATTTATTATCTTGGCCTATACCTACATTCAGTGTTGTAGCTAGCAGGATTTGAGTGCCTGCTATTTCGCGATACTCGCACTAACATCTTTAATCTACAGTATTTCCCCTTTGACCGAGTTGACGTAACAATGAGTTTGATTTAAAATATTAGCAGTTACATTTTGTTCGGTTTAATTGATATTTTTTTAATTCTCGTTGTATAATTGTGAAGATAGTTAAATGTATTTGTACCATGCTATGTTCCATTGTATGTTTTTTCTCCAACCTGTTGGTTGATTAAATTTAAAATAAACTAAATCAAATAGGCCTAGAGTAGAGTTTAATTAATTTGTTATATCCACTTGAATTAGGCGCTGTGTTCTTTATGTAGATGTTCGATGCGATTATTCAAGGAAAGAGCGAGAGGCTTTAATTATAAGAATTAAAAAAAACAAAACAGTGAAACACTTTGTTCTCTTAAGATCATTTTGATTTCCTTTAATTCCAAACAATTGACCACAGATTGTCGTCTAATGTTTGCATTTTAACTATGTACCCACTATAATCTACTAATCCGATTAAAATCTGGCTGAATTTTGGTCGATATCGAAAACAAGTTTGGCCGAATTTGACCGTAAGATGTCATGTATTTGGCCGTGAACCTGTCGACTATCTGGCAAAAAAAAAAAATATATAAACAACCACATGTGCGTTTTGAAGCATGTGGTTGGACAGCAGAAGGGTGATACTGTATTGCATTTAAACATATCATGAAAATAATTAATGAAACAACCATTGATTGAATGCTGTAGAAAATGTAGGAATATAGTAATACTAGTATCATTTGTCGTGTTTTCCAAATCAAGCTAACATGGGTAGGTTAATTAATAGGGCTAACCTAGCTAGGAGAGAGAGAGAGAGAAAGACAGCTGGCAGGCTGCAGGTCGCATAGTGTTGCTGCCCTTCGTGATTTGGAATAAGAATAGGTTGATAACCGGTGTAAAATAAGCCTCATCCCGAATTTTGGGATCCAAATATTCGACTTTCCGCATCGGAATATATGATATATTATGTGAGTGACTGATAATTTAATAATAAAGTTTTAATTTTGTGCCGGTCGGATTTTTAAAATTTGCTGTCAGTCCCGGTTACCAAATGCTAAGGCCGGTCATACTCGGCCGGTACCGACCGGCGTAGCTACAACACTGCTTACAATTACATTGGTTGAACTGACATGGAATGACCCCTATGCTTTAAAGCTTAAAAATTTACGTTTAATATTCAGCACGTGAACTGGAGATGCGGATCTTGAGAAAACGACAAGAAGAAATGATGGAACTAAATATGATACTCAATAGGGACTTGAAAGAGTTACAGGTAAGTACTATGTACTATATCATCATTTGTTTTCTGCCTTCTGGCAGGTTCACAGCAGTTCACAATTTGGTGGTGGAGAAGGTGTGAGAGTCGACACCCCTTCAGCCCCACCATGGTTGGGGTTAAGGTAGGAAAAGTTTGAAAATATGGACCTCGGTGCACGGAAATTGCAATCTCATACCTAAAAAATGGGCTCCCAGCGAGAGCGTGTGTCTATGCCCTATACTCCCTTACTGTATTATGTTTACTAATTTAGTATCCACATGGGATTCAATTATCAGGAAATGTGTGGTGTTGTATGTTTTTTAATGACTCTTGTACAGCATTAAGGTACTTAAGATGACACATGACCCACCGGATTTACCCTTTCCACCATTTATATTGCCAGATCATAATACAGTGTCTTTGCCCCAAAGGGGCATAGACACAAAATCTTAACGGTAATTCATATCAACAATTTAGGGGAGTGCAATTGCACCGTCTCCACCCCCTGCATCCGTCCCACATAAATCTGTAAATTGTCTCTATCATATGATTCATCATGATGGCAAAGCTTTCATTTTTTTCCTTCATCATCATCTAAAAACATTGCTCTCATTCTTCCTTGAGGCCACTTTTCTTCTGTTCTTCTATATGTGTACTTTGTAATATAAAATAAATAAACATTTTATAACAATTTTATTTCAAAGTAAACTAAAATAATGTTAATAATGATTTCAATATTAATGTTAGTCAAACAATTCTGAGTAATTCCCTAGCTACAGTTTGTGATCAACATGGTGGTATCATTCCAAATCCATATGAGGCACAATTACAAATGCTGAACCTACCCACTTTGAAAATTGTCCAAATCCTATGCTAGATTGAGAGTGTTGCAGGAGTTGTTTTCAAATGGTATCTTTGACACATAAAATAACCTGTCTGTTCACATTATTGTACCATTAAACCAATTCAAATCTTGGTCGGAAACATATTAGCATCGTCACCTGCTGAAGTTTTCCCCCATACAAACAGACAGCAGGAAAATATACCCAGAGGGACACACAAGCCTTGGATTAAGAAGTCTGTAAATCAAGGTTCAATCAAGGTAACAGTAGAATCAAATGGTTTTCTACAAGGACGTCAACTCATGCTAGATAACGGGGTGGGGGAACGAAATGGAATGATTAGCCTTAGGCCGTAGCCCAATGTTTTTTTCTGGGCACATCCTAGTTTTGTAGTAAACCATTTGAATATACGTTTACCTTAATTCTACCTTGATTTAGAGACTTCTTGCCTATTTAATTGATTTTAAGGATAACAATTTACAATAAATATTATTTCCACACTACGTCAACATAAAGAATGTTTCAATTTACCTATTCGTAATCAAAAGCCATATATTTTTTGCAGACTAACATTCATAAAAATAATGATTTATCTTATGTATTAGTTATTCGTAATTGTTGTTCTTTCCATTCACTTTGTAAAGTGGGTTTTTAATCATAGACAAATGGTGAATAGTGGGGGGGGGGCGCAATTGATATGATGTCCCTCCCACTTTGTAATGCGATCGGATGTGTCCACTGCCCTCCCTCACCAATTAATGCCAATGTTTGCTAAAATAATGATTTAAAACGTTTCCAATTTTTATAATTTTAGAATACGATATGTAAACAAGAAGAAGATTTCAAGAACCTGCAGACATATGGAGCTGCCCTCCAAAGACAGCTGGATGGGTTGCGAATGATCCCTACGCTTTTCGGTGTTATCAACTTCTGACGATGGTTTTTGCCCATCTGTTGGGCCAGCCCACCCGACCGTGTGCCTATCGGTGGGGGCCAGACCTGTTTTACAGCTGGATTATGACAAGAAATTAAGAAAAATGAATATTCAAATTATTTTAATGTTGTGCCCCATACATCACATGTATCTTGTCTATTATTATTTTTAATTGTAAACATACTAACATTTCTCTCCTGTGATTCGCTGTTGTATTGTATGTGTAACAATGTATGTGCTAGATGTGTATAAGAGACAGGTTCAATAAGCATACATCAATAAGTACTAATCAAGTACAACCCAATAACATGTTTTGATGTTTTGAATCATCGGAACACTATTCAATAACTGATTTTTCACGGATTAATCAACTAAAATAGACTTATAAACACATTCTAATATTTTTATTTTGACCAAAAAGGTTGTGATATCAGAAAAGGTACCGTTGCAATAAGAACAAAAATTCCCGAAAGTTGTAACAGAAAGCAATGTTGATATTGTTAATCCATTAATGGTTTTCATTACAACAATGTACAGTATATGGCTAATCCAGAAACGGTGTTTTTTAACCTAATTTTCATGTACTTATATTGTAATATTATAATTTTAACTCTTATATATATTTTTTTGAAAATTAATTATTTGTTTATTTAATACAGTATCAGTGTTAGTTTTAGACGTGGAATTACAATTCGGATTTAAAATGAAGTTACTGATCCTCATGTGGACATCTTGACCGAGGGTGTAGGGTGGCAGTTTGTTGGTAATAAAATGACATTAAAATTAAAGTTTGAGGGTGCCATTTATGGCCATCTAGAAGTGTCATATAAAAAAAAAAAAAAAAAAAAATGGAACCAGGGTTGGGGCTGAGGTAGTCTGGACCTTCCATCTGTAAAATTACCTTTCTGGGCCACCTCTGTTTTATAATCCTGGATATCTGCCGCCTAGATATGGTAATCTATATTATAGAATCAACGCATTTATTCCTCTTGCGAACAGTGTTACTAATGCCCGTTGCACACTAGACAAAATTTTGCGCAAGATGCATGCTAAATATTACACAGACTTTCAATACTAATACAATGAATTTCAATACTTTCCAAAAGTCAGTAACATTGATATGCAGTAGTTTTCTGTATTTCAATTGTTTTGGGACAGGTCTTTGATGCAGTGGTAATGGCTTGGTTCCCAACCTCGAGATCTAAATCCCTTGTGTGCTTAAGCAAGATAATTTGCTGTATCAGATACAGTACAATGTATCTGCATTGCTTCTCTTAATCTAGGAGTATAAATGGGTACTTGGTGTGTTGCCTGCTACTGCGCCGCTTATATGGCAGCAACTCATGGACCAAATAACCAGAGAGGGAGGATACGGCTAGGTCTCGGTTAAAGATAACTTCACTTCGCGAGCAGGCACAATGCCTGTTATATATGTCATGATCATTGTAGGCCTCTACACTCATTTTTTTTTCTCTTAGTAACATTACATTTACTGAGAGGCGTGCTAACCTTGCATGCATGTGCCTTCACATAGATGTGACGTAGCAGGGAGAGTTTTATAACTTTTTTGTGTATATACATATGTATATGTATATATATATATATATATATACAATAGATGCATATTAATACACACACACTCACACATGTATGTGTATGTATATAGTCTACAGATGTATATATATAAAGCTTAAGTTATAAAAACAAAAGATAATAGAAACAATAAAGAAATGATATGCTCAACATTTTCTTTTTTAATTTATAATGTATATATGTATATATATATATATGTGTGTATATATATATATGCATACAATGTATATATATATATATTCACATATATATATATACATATTAATACACACACACACGCCCACACATATGTACACATATGTGTATATATATATAGTCTACAGATGTATATATGAATCTTAAGTTATAAGTAAAACAAAAGATAATAATAGAAACAATAAAGAAATTATATGCTCAACATTTTCTTTTTAAAGGTTTATTTTTGAATTTTTCATTCCATTTATTTGTTTTGATTTAGTACTATATATAATCACAGCATATATCTGAAAGTGTTGATACAAATCATAGACACCACAATTATACTTCTGTCAAGGAGGAATTGGCGTCATTATTCTCTCAACACTTTTTGCTTATTCTTTACAAGATTCGTGAGAGATAGATCTTATCATCGGCTATGCTTAATCCGACGTCGTTGCTTTGCGACAAATAGTGTGGCAACAATAAAACGAAACAGCCAAAGGAAAACAAATGTTCATTCGACCCATTAAGCATCGTAAAGCATACCATTCAGGCTACGCTGATATTTATTTTTCTGGGTCCCAATAATTTCTGTTCCAAATACGGACATTTATGTAGGCTCATCGTTGATTCAAAATATAGAAGTTATTGCTTTCCGATTAGCAAGTATCCAATATTCTTTGTTTTTTCCGAAGAATTTTGGCCAGCTAAACTATAAAATTAATCTACCGCGATTTGAAAGTGTGTAATAGGCTTTTTTTTTATGTAATGCTTGCAGCACACTACGATAGTTCTAAAGAGAACTTTAGTCTGTTGAGGTTTTCTCGACGTTGATGTTCGACTAAGAACATCCACACGATCTAATTTTGTTGCATAAATAACTGTCCACTTGCCATATTTCGATCATTTTTTGTTGGTCACATCCACTGGTCTTAAACAATAACCGTAGTTTTTTATCCAACCGTTTAATTAGTCCAAAACTGGGGCCCGTAGCGGCCTGGTGATTTGTATAAGTTTGGATAAGCCTAAAGTGTGCGACTACTTAAATTGCATGCAAAATGCTGCTGAAATAATTAAGCTAATTGTTTGAATTATAACTAAATATTAACTAAATGTGAGTTGGTTCTTCTGACCATTCCCGTTTCGCTTTCTTCACACGAGTAATCTATGGCACAGATATCTGTTGAAGAAAAAAATATATAATCATGATTTTGTATAATTGTTTCATTATTGGGTTTCATTTCTGATGTAGGATACAACGATTTTTGATATATAAGTATAAAAGTTACCCACAAATACACAATGATGCATTTATGTTTTTTTTTAATTGAAGCCGTTTGGAAGTATTTAGATATGGCCTAAATTATATGTAGGCACAAAATTAGTTTAATCATTTTTCGGCGTTCCCGGACTTTCAGTTAATAAAAAGAAAATGAAATATTTATGTGATATTGGTACCTTCATTACAGCAAATATAACTTGTGGCACAGCTGCCGCCCTCTACGGCACGGCAACTTGGCTGCAGTTCTGGTCCAGTACATGGTGTCGAGAGGCGACTTTCTTCTGAGCAAACCAATGTATCTGCCGTTGCTATGTGACAACCGAATGATTCTCCGCAGCATATTAATGGCCCAACACACTGGCCTCCTTCAAACGGACCACATTTTGGACACTGAAAGAGATGAAAATTCACAGAAATAGAAACGGTGACCATTTAATTCCTAAGAACATCCACATGATATTTGTCTGAAATACTTAACTAAATTTAAATTTCGCTTGAAATACATTATAAAATATTCACTTGTTTTCCCGTCCCACCAATGGGCAGCAGAGGACGAGTGTTGATGTTTTTTGAAGTGTCCACTTTCAGGGTATCTTATTCTTACCAATAGGACTCCAGAAATATCAAGTACACTTGTTTGAATGCTATAGCAACTAAACACTAAAGTTAATACCATCACGCAGTTTTAATTTTGTTAATAATAAATTCTACTGAGAAAAGGATAAGATTTTTAAATTGTAATTGATGAATTGAGATGCTTAATCTTCGGTTAATAAATACAAAATGATGTATAAGATTATTTAAGTAGACATACCAAATAAAAAATATAAATATTAACTGATGTTTATATACACGAGTTGCCAGATATATATATATATATAT